TTTCAAACCACAAGCCTATAAACATACCAATTGTTTATGGACATTTTTATAACGCGGATGCAGGTAGGCAGCGTCTCGTATATATCGATCTAGCCATATAATGTCGAAACCACAAGCCTACTGCAGCTCTATCTATATCGGTGAGAGGTAGATACTTTATACTTCCTGTGATCAAACGGTCCAACGCCAAGCATACGAGAGGACCACAATCCCCTCTGGGTCCTTTCATTTGTTGTGGTGCGGTCTCGTCTCTGCTAACTGTAATATTGAGCTTCTTTGGCTTCTTGTTTCCAGAACGAGTCCAATAATTTATCGCATCCAAGTATTTAGCCAAATAAGAGCTCCATCCCTTAATAATATCTCTTAAATCAGCCAATGATATGTAATTTATCATGTTGTCATATACTATTGCCTTAAGGGATGGGATCTGAAGCTCGACGAGAAGCCAATGGTTACATTCCAAAACAGGGATAAACACCTGCAATCATAAGTAATAATTCATTCATTTGCGCACTTATTTATGAATACCTTTAAACTCAATCTAAAATAAACACTAACCTTATCGACCTCCCACCATGCAGGATAAAGTTTAGCTTGTCCATTGCCCAACGCAAATGATTCATCTCGTTGATTCTTCAAGTGAACTGCGTTAAAAGCCGTCGGCATTATTGTATACCGTGTATTTCTTTTATTTTCCTTAAGTTTCCTAATTATTAGTAGACGTGACACCCACGCATCGATATGCTGTTTTACAAAAAAATACATATATTAGTGAATTACATTAATTTTTAAACAAATTAATCAAATGAAAATATAAGAAAAATATAAGACTTACCCCTCCATCGAAATAGCCATTGTCTTCGACCCCTAATAATACGCCCCACCAAGACCGATCAAGCAACAAATAGATATCATCATTGAGCTTGCATATGTCAGTGAAACACCCCTGGCTTCGCTCATGTAGATAAAAATCAAATGCGGTCTTAGCTCAAAGGGTGTTATCCAGAATTGTGTCCGGTAGTTGTTTCCTCTCCTCTTCAGATACCGGTATGGTACTGGCCGGTAACTCATACGAGAGCCAACTTGAATCCATCATGTCCGGCACGTCAGAGGGTTTCTCAAGAATCCTACATATGACGCCATGTGAATCGGGCTCTTGAATGGTGGGAGGGACCTCTTCAACGATGACAGTGGCCTCTTGAACGGTGGGAGGGGACTCTCGAGGAATGATAGGGGTCTCTTCAACGATAGGAGTGGACTCTTGAGGGATGATAGGCGAGTCGGGCTTCTTCTTGCGGTGTCTTCGCACTATTGGGGTATACGGAGACTTAATAGCACGTGCACGCCGTCTGATGCGTGAACTCTGTCGTGCAAGAAAAACCCGACGTAAAGCATCCACCTTATCGGTCCGCTAAATAAAAATACAAATATCAGTAAATAAACAGACATGATATTTAAACAGTGAAAACAAAGATAAATATATTTCAAACTTTCAACCAAAAGACAAAACAAAGACAAATACTAACTTCACAGTGTTAAAGTAAAAAGTTTAGCAGTTTTGGCAGCAACCGAATAAATTTACTAAGCAATCTAAGTGAAATGGTTAATTTAAGTGAAATTACGAGTAAATTTATCATCAAGTTAAATATGGAAAATCTTAAACTTACCTCGTTGCGTAGAGTATGAACCTCATTCTGCAACGATACTACCATCTCACGTAGAGCGGCAACCTCACCACGTAAAGTAGACACCTCCACACGCCATGCACCATCGTTATCGCGTAGAGTACCGATCTCCTCACGCAAGGCATTGACCTCATCACGTAACTCCCTTGACTCATCCCGTGGAAGTGGAGAACAGGGAGATAGAAGTTGTGACATCTTTGTCGGTCGCCTATCATGAGGTGATGGTGGAGAAGAGACTCGATGATGTGACGGGATAGGTGATGGCTCTCGTTGTAGAGGTGTATAGTCGGGTCGATCAGGTGATGGCTCTGGGTGAGGTGATGGCTCTCGAAGTGGAGGAAGTGGAGGCTGCTCATCATTCGTGCCATAAAAAAAACGCTGACTAGCTTGCCACCAATCAGTGGCAAGCTCAGCCTCCGTGGGTGTCAGTCTCATTAATGGAGTGTTGGCCTCCTAAAAATATAAAAACTAAAACAAAGTTAAACGTCTACTATTAATAACTTGTTTATATATGATAATATTTGTGTTAACTTACATTATTTATTGTCGCATATGGTATTAAGTCTTCCCAATCCAACATACGTTTCCTCTTCCAGGAAATAGCCCTAGGAATATCATCTGAGGATTTTAATGCATATGTCCGCATGCTGGGGAAAGCCTCGAATATCCAAATCTACAAACAATATAATAACAAACATTAGTAATTGTTAAATAATTAATTATAATTTTGAAAACATTATATAGAAATTCTTACCTTAAAGGCCCAAACAAAGCCTGACAAAGTGTATTTCGACCCATCGCCCCGCAAACTTTTGCGGTCATCAAAGGCAGACGACAACTTAGTCCAGGTAGCTTTCCATATATACGAACCCCACGGAAACAGATTCCATGCATTTAGGTCCTCTACCAATAATATTAGCTCCTGAGGAATAGGTTGTCTGGCCTCTCTGCCTAGAAAGCCGACATACAAAAGTAGTAGAAGGCATACTCGGACAACATCGACGTCATTCATCCGAGTAAAACCATCTTTCTTATTAAACAATTTCTTCATGTCATCGACGTGTAAGTTCGGCTTCTCTATTGACTCATCAGGAAAAACCCTGGATAACCATGATGGGCGGGTGATATGACGAGTGTACCGGCCTACATCATCGTGTCCGAATCGTAGACCAGTGATTAAGCAGAACTCCTTCCGCCCAAAACAAGTATACGCCGGTGGAAAATGAAACCATATCTCTTCATCACCACGTTGTATACTGTCGGGTAGATCGCTAGTCATGGTCTGAAGCCACAAATGGGTCAAACTAGCATCTCCACCCGGATGCTGTACTCTCAGCCATGGCCCGAAGCAGGTTTCTTCAAACAATTTTCTTTGTGCAGGTGAAAGCTTCGAAGCAATTGTAGTGGCTAGGCTAACTTTATTCCTTAATGTCAATGAAGCCGAAAAAAATTTCTACAAAAAAAAATAAACATACCAAGTTAGATATACCAAAAATTACACTGTCAAGATATACCAAAAACAAAACAATAAACATAAATAGTAGTTTATTCTTGAAACTAAAATTTGCAACACTGTTTTTGTCTTTTGGTTGAAATGAAAATCGCAACGAGATAATGAGAATCGCAACGCGGAAATGACTATCGCAACGAGAGAATCGCAACGCGAAATGACTATCGCGACCAGACAATCGCAACGCGAAATGAAAATCGCAACCGCGAAATAAAAATCGCAACGCGAAATGAAAATCGCAATGCGATTTTGGTTTCGCGTTGCGATTTTTATTTCGCGTTGCGATAGTTATTTCCGCGTTGCGATTTTCATTCTCGAAACTATTCTTCTTCTGCATTACTTCAACCAAAAGACAAAGCAAAGACAAATACTAACTTCACAGGCTAAACAGTTTAGCAGTATTTACAGCAATCGAATGAATTTAATAAGAAATCTGAGTGAAATGGTTAATCTATTATTGAAATTACCAGTAAACTTATCATCAATCTCAATATGAAAAACCTAAAATAATGCAAAAATTTCAAAATAAAAATAAAAAAAACTAACCCTCGGAGGTTGATTTTCCATTTCTGAATGATTGTGAGGGATTTTTGACTGTGAATGGTTGTGAGGGATTTCGCCGGCGATGGGGACGGAAATCTTCGAAGATGGGGACGGATTTCGCCGTAGAGAGTGAGAGATGGAGATGGGACTGAGTGTTGTGTTTTTGGGTTTGAGGTTATGAGTTGTGATTACTGTGGACGGTTCATTTTCCGATTTATTAAGAAAAAATACGTGTTTGGAATTTGAAAAAAAAATACGCGTTAATACGAATGGCGCTATGTAAATCGCGTTGCGAAAGTCAGTATCGCGTTGCGAAAGTAAGTATCTTGTTGCGATTTTTTATTATCGCATTGCGATAGTCAGTATCGCATTGCGATTTTCCTAATTCGCGTTGCGATTTACTTATTCGCATTGCGATTTTCTCAATTCGCGTTACGATTTATTTATTCGCATTGCGAATTGGGAAAATCGCAACGATACTGTAGACAATCGCAACGCGATTTTCAACTATCGCATTGCGAAAATGCAACGCGAATTTGCGATAATGGAGATCGCGTTGCGAATTAGCGATCGCATTACGATTTTGTTGGTCATTTTGGCAAATCCAAAAAAAAATTGATTAAAATCGTATATTATATGAGATTTTTGGTCACAGAGGTTATTTTCTCTATTAAATAACTCTTTCAAGTCGTAGCTTATTCTTTAATATAAAAATTGTTTGTAAAATAAAGAAAGATAAAAAGTTACCTAATACTTTTTGAAGAATGATTGAAAAACTTATTGAAGACCCACCAATCATCATTTAAGAAAATAATTATACATATAAAACTTTTTCCCAGAAGTATATTTATATTATAAACTCGACCAAGCATTCATTGTTAGCGGCGAATATCAGTATCCACAAAACAAATTTTATATAATAATTTATCCTCTTCCTCGTTAGGTTCTCATGAACCTCTGCTAACTACATATTTTCAGTGTTTTCTTTCCACAAACGGCTCCGGGAATCTTTTTCAGCTGCCGGCAGCTAGCACCGGCTTCTATGTTGCTTTCCAACTGTACGGCCACTAATCAAAGTACAGGGAATTTCCAGTTGCTTTCAATGATTTGTTTCTGGTTATAAAAATAACAATTTACAGTCCCAGAAAACCAGTTTAAACAGTTGTAATTCTGCCACCATCTGATATGTCAACAGATGAGAAACAAAAAAGTTGAGGAAAAAAAAACTTTCACATCGTTAAATGGAAGAGGGACCATGAAATTTGAGCATCTTTTTTTTTTCTTTCCAAAAAGTGAGTTCCATTAAGTAGCATATCTCCATTATTTTTTTTTTTTAAAAAGAGTATCAATTTACTAGTTATTCCTGGGTCAGATGTGATTTTACAGCATGATGCCACAAGGGAGTGAGGGCACTCTAATGGAGGGATTGTTAACCAGGGTCTCGGAGCTGAAATTATATAGAAATTCTGCCACTATCTCCGTACTAGGTCCGGCTACGAGCTTTTCCCACGCCTCGTCTGCTTCTTTGCCGCGCCGGAGGAAAACCTCCGTGGCGTCGACAGTCTGTATCTGCCAATTCTTCTTGTTTATCAGCCGTTGGATCTTTTCCAATTGTCGACGAGCTAATTTCCGGGTGTTCCTTTTGATCTCTTGTATTGCTTCTTGCAGCAGTTCATCGCGTTCTCGTTTGTTCAAAAACGGTTCGGCTCTGAAGTAGCGGTCGAATTCCGGGACGCCGATGGCTTTCCTAATCCCCACTGTGTAGTTCGCGTTGGCATCGAAGAATTTCCTCACTTCATCAACCATTCCCATTTCGACCATCTTATCTACTCGGTCGGATACATATTGATCGAGCACCGGCATTGCTACTTCTACGCAGAGGAAGCAACATTCGTATTTTGATCGGAACAGGAAATCTTCGTCGTCCACTAAGGCCTCGATGTACGAATTCGAGCCTCCGGCTATGATCGGGACCTGGCTGCGGGACAAAATCGAAGCCATGGCATCCAAAGCCATGCCGACAAAATCCGTCGCTGTAAAATCCGCCTTGGGATGTATCACACCTAACAAATGGTGTGGAATCCCACACCGTTCTTCCTCAGGGATTTTGTTGGTCGCTATGTCGAGTCCAGCATGTAATTGTATTTTGTCAGAATTTATAATCTCTGCCGGAAATCGAGTGGCGAGGTCGATCGAAAGTCGAGATTTGCCTGTTCCTGTGGCTCCTAGTAGGATCACGACCTTATCTTTTTCTCGCCTTGGCCTAAAGAAGTTGGATTTGAACACCCCAGAAGGTATGTCTAGTAAAGACATTGTTCGCTTGTACATAGACACGGAAAACGTCATGATCGGAACCTGTCACGAAACAACAACATTTTATTGAAAACAAAGTTGAAAACTAAAGAAGGAACGAATAAATGGGTTTGTTTCAAAACGTTACCTTATGGTGTATGCAGCAAACCCGAGATGGAATAAGACAGTATCCGAAGATCGATTAGTAATGACAGTGAGAGAACTGTATGCAGGAATTAGCAAGTGAAGACAAGTAGACGAGTGAAAACAAGGTGGAGGGAAGTAATTTATATAGGGAATGGGGAAATGCCAAAGGGGTCAACTTGCAGTCTACTTTTGTGATCCATCACTCATAGTCAAAGAAAAAGTAGTTTTTATGATATTCCTTCTAAAAATGAATTGCATTTGTTTACTCTACCTTAATACTAATATTAATAGAATTGAATTGGACCCTCCAATATCATGGAAAGGCACAGTACTAATTATAAGAAGACAATGGCGAAATGGGTCTCTTTTTGGTGATATGGTATTCCTATATAGACGGCTATATATAGTACATCACATTTTAGATAAAAAATTATTTAAAGTGGGTTCTTTTTCTCCTGCATTTGCACTTGTTTGAGTTTTGAATTTGTCAAAATCGACAAGGTTAAACAGAATTATGAAATAGTAAAAGAAATACCATTGGCAATACTCAAATTACAAAGTCAAATGGGGATGTGTACGTATACAACCTTAAAGTTGACTACGATTTTGCTGGGGGAAAAAACAAAAAAATGGAAGAAAAAGAAGGGTTTAATGGATTCTTACAATGACAAGGGAATGTTTAAGCTGGTGGACCGTAGCTGTAGTCTATTGCAAATGGAGCTCTCCTTTGGATAACACACGATTCCTTCATATCCAAGAGATGAGACCATCTGCACGGCTGATGCAAGAAACCCAAAAAAAAAAAAATCTTCTCTCACATGATAGACCTAAGATTTTATGTTTAAAGATATACTCATAAAATTTTAGGAGAATAAAAATATATAAAATATATGAGAATTTGAAGTGTTTAAAAGTATCAATAAATTCTTACCTTAATAAGTCAATGAGGTGTGACATTTTTCTATTACATTGATTTTCCCATGAAAATTAATTAAAAGGGTTAATTTTATTAGGTATCCTTAAAGTATGACCCAAATTTTAAATTAATTATAAATTTCAAAACATTTTTATTGAGTTCTTAAAGTATCAATACAATTGATAAAATCCTTTTACTACCGTGACCATCAACCTAGGCATAGACTGATAGACTAAAAGTTAAAATGTGGACTAAATCTTAGACTATGTGTACCTAGCCATGAACAATTTGAATTTTTTGTATTAAAAAGAAAAACAACCTGTCCTTCTAAATCCATAATTTATCCAAGTTAGAACTGATAGCACCATGCTCTTCCTTCATATGCTCAAAAGTGTCATTTCACTGTTAGTCTTTTGATGATTCAAACCATGGGTTTGACTCACAGAATAAAACTGACGATTTACCAAGAATCTTCATATTTTTTTCACTCTCCCATCTAAGTTAGAGTTAACAGAGAAAAGCAGGTTCCGAAAGATTGATATCTAACGCATACGGGCTTTGATTCTGAAGTGAATAAGAGAAGCTGTTTAGGATGGAACTGTTTTGTTTTTGCTTTGCCTTTCTCAGGTATCAATCATTCAGAATGTGCAAGAAAGTCTTCCCCCAGCATACTTGTTAGGAAAAATCAAGTGATATCAGTTTTAATTGGTAAGTGGTCGACACCCAAGAGGTAAAAATAAAGATTTGGACAACCATTTTCTTTCTACTATTTGATAGAACCACCATTAGATAGTGGACAAGATCAAATTATTTAACTTCAAATTTATTAAGCATTTAATCTAGACTTTTTTAAAAAGAAATCAAAATTCATAAATATTTATAAATCAATAAAATATATATATATATATGCGACTATCTCTCGTCAGTATGAGTCTATTGCTATTCGTTTAACATATTTTCAGTGAAATCAATTTTATATCTATCAATAACTTTTAAGATTCTTTACTATATTTTAAAGTGTAACAAGATCTCATTATTTATACACTATAGCAAGAACCTCAAAAACTATTGAAAGATTTTTTTTTTCCTTGAAAGGAAGTTTGAATGATTTTATTAATCGAAGGCGTACAAATCAAGATAACGATACGAGCCTCACTAAAAAAACTTTCCTAAACCTAAATGAAGGAAAAAGAACGCACCATATCGATATAACCCAATTCGAATCAATACCAAAAACTAGCCTCGAGCATGCCACTGTTACAACGCCAAAATCATTCAATAGATTCAAATAATTTAATTAAATATTCAAGAATATTTGATGGCTTATTTATTTTCTTTTTCTTGTAATTGTCACATCTCTCTTTTTTTTTTTGGGGTATTTTTTTTCCAAAATTGAGTGAATGAAAGTAAACTGCCTAAGCTTGCGTTATACTAGAGCGTTCTTCCTTTATTATCGATGCTATTATTACCGTTATCTCATCCTTCCATTGAACTGTATTTGATATAAAGTATCATTCAATTTTTAAAATCAAATATGTAGGGATGGACATGGGTCGGGTCGGAACCCGTCGGGTTCGGATCCCATGCCCATCCCTACAAATATGCTTGAGGGGATTTGGAACTCACTCTAAACTCATCACAATCAAATATACTATTGATGAATACATAAACAAATTTAATTTTAAATTTTTTAATAATATTGATTCATTAAAATATAAAAGTATTAGTAATACACTAAATATAATTTTGTTGTAGATAATTAGATGCTATAAATCATTATAATCGGTGATTGACATAACATATGATTGAATTTCAACCATATATATATATGTGTGTGCGTGATGCAAGTGCTATGTATCTTGTCAACTTATTATATCAGACGCTGAGCTATGTTGGGTAGTGTTAAGGAATGGACATGGTGAGTTGAAAAACTTGAAAAGCAACTTCAATTCAGCTACGTCTTATTCTTTGTTTCTATCCAATTCGATAAGGATTAGCCAATGCCGACGTATGGTTATAATAAACTACATGTACCAACTCTAAAGGCATGCAATAAGCAAATAAAAGGCTAAGTTTCAATCATTGAATGGGCAGAATTTTTCCCATGTAAAGCTAATCTCATCCCATCATATTCATCAACCCGCCTTATATTGCTCATCATTATATCAATCATAATGATACACTAAATTCTTACTGCACACTAAAAATAATGATAATAGATCGAACATTAAAAAAATTCATTTACCAGTCCTAGTAGTTAAAGGAAATTTTGTTCTTACTAAAAGTCCTTAGTTCGAGCAATTACGTCTGTAGGATGTTTATACATTACCAATGACTAAAATAATATTATGAATATATATTATTTTATAATCATTTCAAACCATTAAAAAAACATCAGCAATAAAGAATTTAGGTATAAATCATATTGAATACAAAAGTATACATTATTTTTGGCTGGCTGTGCATGTTCCTAAAGTCCCATCCAGAGGGGGTTTTCTCATTTGGAGATATACTTTCTCAAGTGTCCCAATCCTTAATCAAATAATTAAACTATCAATTCATACTTTATCACTCAGGTAAGTTTTATCTTTTTAGAATACTCAGGTTAGTTTTTGGTTGAAGGATTAAAAAATCCTCAAATTATTTTGAATTTTTTTAATCATCTCTTCAATTTTTTTTTTATTTAATTAAATACTCAAATTGATAAAAACATATTAAATTTTTTAAATTAAACGATAGCCAAGAGGATTATCGACGGGTCAAAGACCTGTACTATGCAACTGACAATAAGAGGGTTGGGTTTGGGCAAAAGACGTACGACACTAAGGGTGATGGTCGTGACAGATGACGATAATGACAACAACAACAAAGAGAAGGTAAGAGAAGAGGAGAAAAACTTTGAGGAAAAAAAAGACTTTAAATTTTTTTGTTTGATAAGGATAAAAAATGAACTTTCAAAAGTTCAGAGATTAAATTAATAATTATAATAATTTTTGTTAACATGTCACGTCAATAATTGTACAAAGGTTAACGTTCGGGAAACCAAAATGTTATAACCCGAAAACGTAAGTAACAAAAATTAAACTTTTTGAAAACCGATAATCAAAATAGAACAAATCAAAATAAAAAGAATCATCAGTATAATCTATTAAAAAAACATTAAAAAGTGTGTGTGTATATGATGATATTTTTGTAGGGAATATGATCAATTTATACAATATACAATTCTTTTAACTTTTACATAAATATAAGACCATCCGATTTAAAGTTTTTACTCTAAACCTTATTCTTCTTATCCTAACTATTTTTCTCAAAATCCATCCTATATTCGAATTCCAAAAAAAAAAATCTTTATAAAATAGGATTGAATCAGAATCTATAATTTTACCATATACGTCGCACACAAATCAAACTAGAAGAAACCCAGAAGAGCCTTAAAAGCCCATTTCATAATCAGATGCTTGAGCCTTGAGGGTCTCCACTCTGCATCCACATTCCAACCTTCGTTTAAGCACTTTTTGAAATTAATGCAAGACAGACAGAGGTGACAGTCAAACTCATTTAAACGTCAAAGCAATCTTATTTCTTGCTTCTTACTAAATTTCAACGTTTCTGTGTGTCCCAAAAGTTATCAGCTACGCTAACAGCCAAGCATGAATATGAAACAACGACAAACAGGTTGTGCTCGTTGCCAGACTTTGGAGTTGGAACTCAATACTCGGATAAAACAAAGAGAAGTTGAGAAAGAAACGTATACACCAAATATCTATGCACCATTTATGCCCAGTGCTTAACTTAATTATAGCAACAATTATCTAAATTTAGATAAATATGGGTTCCTTTTTATGTAAAAAAAAAGGTGCTAGTTAAATATGGCAAAAATGTCGTGGAATTGAAGGCACGATCGTGGTTGAGACAAAGGGTAGCATTGCGTGGGGCGCCAACGACAACCACCATCGAAACAACAGCCTCTGGCTCTGGAGCCCCGACCAGGCAAAGGGCTGTCATCGTTTTCTCGACATGGCGGATGTTTTCTTTACGTGGGTCTCAGCTTTTAGAATCGTGTGTTCTCTCCTGTTCCTGGTAGCCATTGCTTCTGTTCTCCTATCCATTCCTATCGAAGAGGCATTTCCTTTTTCTTACATCGATATGCTTGTTTTGTTTTGAGTTTGATTATAAGATGGTCTTATAAATAAGTGATATTTAAAACTTCTATCTTTTTTTCATATTTGCATCTCTGCAACTTTATTAATCGAAAAGAATTGATAATGCAGAAGGTGAAGGGTTTTCTGCTCTGTGTTAAGGAAGATCTTGGCCAATGGGGTCCATTTATGCTGTAAGCTAAAATATAGCATATGTTATAATATAGCTCCATGATTATAAAAACCATATCTTTCTTGGTATTGCAGGGCCTTATCATACATTCCTTTCGCAATCCTTGCTGTTCCTGCTTCGGTTCTTACCGTGGGTTCTCATTTCTCAATGCAATTTAGATTAATATAATCATAGCATTATCGATTATGAAACCAAGTTCAGTTGTTCTATGAAAGAGACAAATGCGTTCTTCTTTTTGGCATTTTTCAGCTCGGGGGAGGTTATCTGTTTGGGCTGCCTGTGGGATTTATTGCTGATTCAGTCGGTGCTGCTGTAGGGGCTACCACTGCATTCATCCTTGGCCGAACAGTGAGTCTTTTGAACCGGGGTGTGATGTTTATGACTACTTGTATATAAGCTTGCCTTTCAGTTCATCTAACGAATTTTATTTGCTTTTTCTGGCAGTTTGGAAGATCATATTTGATACCGAAACTTAGGAATTACCCCAAGTTCCAGGCTGTTTCTAGTGCAATTGAGACATCTGGTTTTAAGGCAAGAGTTTTGTGATTTTTCTTAACTTATTGTGCCTATATGTCACTATTATGCCTTGATGAATTACATGAAATGGAGAGTTTCAGTTGATGATTGTTCCTTGAAGATAGTTAAGTTAGGACTTGCACATACTGCAGATCCATATCATATAGTGTATCATGCTACTCTGCTTTGAAATTGTTAAATTTTCTTCGCCTTTTTGGTCCCAACAGATTGTTTTTCTGCTCCGGCTTGTTCCTTTAGTGCCGTTCAGCTTGTTGAATTACTTCCTTTCGTGACTCCTGTTCATCTCAGGGTGTACATGTTGGCATCTTGGTTAGGAATGATGGTATTTACTCCAAGTGTCTTCATGGAATAATGAATACGCTGTTCTTTTCAATACCTTTAGATCATTTTTTAAAACATGCTAAGTTTCATGTTTGTCTCTCATTACAGCCTTCCATATTTGCCCTGGCATATGTCGGAACTACACTAAAAGACCTTTCATATGTCACACATGGATGAAATGAGACTTCTACAATTCGGCAATGCAAGTATTGTGCCCTGTTTATGTTAGCTTCTAAAGGATATTTGATCCCTATCTTATGAAATGATATTTGCCTGTGAATACAGGTTTTCATGGCAATCGGCTTTTGCGCATCCGGTAAGCCCCCATCGCCCTTTTATTCATTAGGTTAACTGCGACTGTGAGTTGGATGATAAAGCATATATCTGAATCCAACTTCAAATAAAATTCTATGTTCTTGTGAAATGGAGTCAACCTCTGTAGTAGTCTCATTTAGAAGCTAACTTCTGGTCTAAGGTTCAATCTAGTTGTCCTTAGTAGTTTTTAAGACGAGCAGGGGACCATGTAGCATAAATTTCAGTCAGATTATGCAGACTAGTTCTTATTTAAAAGCTTCTAGAAGGGACATATTCGAACACGGATTAGATTTATAACAAACAAAAGGAACAAGGCTCAAAAGTTCAATATGATTCTGCATTTTCTTTTACATAATTTTGTGGTGTTTTTGCTTCTTTCTTTCACAGCAATTGTGCTAATTTGGATTACTAAACTCGCCAAGGCTACGTTGGAGAAACACCGGCTGCCACCAATGCTAAAATGGAGAGCGTCTTTGCCCCATCAATGCTCGCAATGGTGCCGGATTCTCATTCTCTCATTGATGTCAAGAAGCCTCTCTTAATTACGATAGACTCGTCGGGGAGAAAAACCTGAGACGTTAGTCTTCTACAAAGATTCTTAACTTCTTTTGTTTCTTCAATAAAATATTTTCTTAAAAAAAGAAAAGAAAAGCAAAGGCCCTCAACAGGAGTAAATAGCCGTTCAGGGGCACCCAAACGTAGCTTTAAAACTTGAAAATAGCTAGCAAATAGCTGTCCAGAAGTTTAAAGGCTTGCAGCCGAAAGCTTCAGAAGTGCATTCAACTAAAGCTTAAGAACAATAGCCATTGTTCTGTAAACTGTGTTTTGAAACTAGAAATACTATTTAGGTTCTATTGTCCACGAAAGAAATGGAAACTCAGATCATATCTATTCTTTTTTGTTTGATTCTGAAAGTAACGAGAAACGACCAACGGAACTAAGCGGATATAGCAGAGGGGTGCTGAGTATGGACTGTCTATGAGCTTCTGTTCAAGCCGTCAATCAACGCCCTTGGCATCATGTGAAGGCCTCTGCTCTCTAACAGCTGACTTGCTGCTGATGGGTTTATCTCTAGTAACTTCCCCATCATCTCTTCAAGAGGTTCATTTATCATCTGTTCATGGAGAACATAGTGACCATATCCCTGCAGATATTTACATAAAATTTTACTCAATTCGAAAAACATTTCCAAGATTGCTTTTATAAGTATCGTATATGGTAAAGGCAGGAGACATAACCTCAAAAAAGACCAAAGGATTAGAAGTTGGTTCGCCTCCCAATCTGCTTAGACTTAATTCCTGCACCATTAGAGTTTCCCCTTGAATACAGATACCAAACATATATTAAAATGTCATTTAATCCATACAATCTATTGCAAAAAGACTAGTCGTTGGAGCAAGCTTGATCCAAGCTTCATACAATGAGTGTAATGCAATGGCCTAAAGTATAAACAATTCAAATCGTGGGTGCAGTTTAAAAACAAGAAAGAACGACAAGATAAGCATATGAAAGCATATACAGCATGATAGCAATAAGACATAACAGCTACCTTGATTTGCAACTGCAGAAACTTGACATAATCAATAACATCATCCAGTGCATTTGCTTGACCACGCTGCAAAATAAAAATGTGATAAATGTTTTTTTGATAGGAATAGATGGCCTCATTAAAAACCTCCCTCTTAGAGGTCCTTTACCGTAGGGTAAGAACCAACTAGCGGAAGGAGGAAAAGAGTGCCAGACTTTATTGCTCGCAAAAGAATTACATAAGACTTAAAAACAGTCCTACGAGATACATAAAGCTAAAACACACTGCTAAAAATCCTAACTGCTGAACTCCCCAACTCGCTGAAACAGCAATTACCATCACCCAATCCCCTCCTTTACTAGCTTATCAGCCTCGCAATTACAGCACCTCGGAATCCACCTCACAAAAATCTCATACACAGAAATTGTAGATGCTATCTCCTTAACTAAATTAGAAAGAAAAGAAGGGACAGTGGCTTGATCTTTCAACCATTCCACTGCTAGTTTACAATCAGATTCTACAATTAGTCTTCCCTTCGATGCCCATTCTGAAGAGACAAAGACGTCTATTCCTTTCTTGATGGCTTTCAACTCTGCTACGATGATAGGAGTACGACCAACATTTTCTGAAAAAGACATCAGCTTTGTCCGATTCCAGTCTCTGAGAATACCCCCAATTCCAGCAATTCTCCCAACAGTACAAACAGCTCCCACAGTTTATTTAAGGGATCAAGCTCCTCAGTTCAACAAAATAACATAAGTGGAACAATGTTGCTGCTTACCCTCTTCCATGGTTCCTTCTATTTTGTTTTGTTCATTTTATTTAAATTCTAATCAACTAATTTATAAGACAAAGATGAGTAAAATGAAATGGAAGATGAATAAAATTGTTCTGTTAACAGATATGGGGTCATGTACCAATTTAGGTTGCTAACGGAAAAGATATATGTGCACCAAGCTCTTTTCTTGTTCGTAAAGATATAAATTACCTCAGAAGAATTAGGAAGCAGTTCCTGCAATGCTTTGATACCTTCAGCTATTCTTATCTTTCGTTGCTGTATACATAGAAAGATATTATCCAAGTAACATGCTTGAAAATCCAAAAGCAAATAATGAGACAGCATCCACATTCCAAATTAAGTTATATCTGTTAGGGCCATTTATTACTAGTATTACTAGTATGTTTAAAGGCTAGGAAAGATGATATACTTACACGATCATTTGCAGGAGCTCTTGGTTTGGGTACACGATACTGTGGTTTGGACCAGAAACTGGGTGCGTCAAAGGTTCCTTTTGATTGAAGGTGATAAACATTATAATCATCTTCTTTTGGTTCTTGCATACGGAAAGCATGGTTTTGCTGAAAGACACAATGTTGCATTATGAGTAGGTTCTTTTAATTCCAAATTTGAACAGGTTCTTGGTGCAAGAGTCTCAGATGGATCGTGGATGCAACATAATTAGAAGATAGAGAAAGAAGTTAACCTGTGCATGGAATGCGTATTCCGCGCTAGAAAATTTGTTCACGGATAATCTATCACGTTGCCTTAAAAATATTTCCTGCAAGAAAAGCAGTTTTACCAGAAATTATCCCTACAAGAAAGAAGAAAAGAACAATCATTTTCTATGAGGCAGTTCTGCTTATACACTTGCAGAAGCTTCATGGTTGTTGATTTCAGTAGAGGAAGCAGATAGCTTTAGATTCCCATGCTCTGGCTCAAGGGAAAAGGCATCTGGACCAGAGCTGAAAGCCTTTCTTTGAATTTCAGAGATCCCATCAACAGCATGTATGCCACCAACTGGAGAACCGATGCTCTCTAACACATCAGCAGTAGGAACCTCTTCAAGATTCTCTGTTAGAAATTCAACATAACTGTGAGGCATTTTGGGACACTCAATCCACTGAGATAAGGATTGGAGACTAGGCCGGTTTGTGTTTCTCCCTGTTTCCGTGAGTAAGACCGGGTTTGTATCATCCACATAGCTATATGAGAAATCATCGACATTCCTACCAGAATTCAGTGACATATGAGAGTTCTCATGACCAGGTTGTCCATCCATATCCCCAAAACTAAAATCAATTGGCCCTTAACTAGACAAAAACAAAGAACAAACAATTATTACTACGATAAAATACTTATAACAAGCACATCGTCAACATGTTGCTGCAAGAAAAATGAATAAGGACACTCGGACATGGTGAAAAGAGAAAACTGGAGCGCATGTTTTTAGCCTAATTCTCAAAGCTTGCTATCATCTTCTCCTCAACCCAACAAAACAAAATTTAAGCAGGATTTCCTAAAAATCAACAGGCCAAATAAAAAGAACATCCAACAAACAGCTAATACGGAACCATATATACAAAGAAGAAATAGCAGTGCAAGGTTGAGAAATAAGAAGGAAAAAAAAGGTAACAACTTCCCTGATATTAAAGCGTTAAAAAGAAGATGCCATTGTTACAAATCGAAGGAGAACAAAAAAAAAATTCCAAAGTTCAGTCAAGGCAAATTACTGGAGGTAAAGAGTAAAACATTTTTAATAAACCTATATTCATGTATTTTTACATCATGAAAGATGAGAATAACTTACATTGGAGATCAAAAGCGTGGTTTTAGAAACAGTTTAAAGAAGGGGAGGAAAAGGGAAGAGAAAATGGGGGCAATGGGCAGAGCAAGTCCTTTGGCTGTCACCTTTGCTTGGGGTTTTAGTGTACGTACATTTTGTAACTGATCATTTCAGCTGCAGGCTGCAGCAGATGATGGTGAAGGGGTTTGCTGGAATTACTATTTTACCACTATACTAGGCTCAATCCGAGTCCGACAGGTTCGAGAATAGCCAGGCAGGCCCATAGCTTTGGGATTAGTCCACGAACAAGTGGGCATCCGAAGAGAATCATACGAAAACATATTCCTCGGTTGTTTCCTCCAGCTACGTCGCAATTTATTTGCTTATCGCCAGGGTACATGGAGTTTGCACGTTGGGGGCAATAACGACGGTTGACGATAAACAATCGATTTATTATAAATCGATAATATCAATTATCAAATCTTTACTTTTAAAATATCATGAAAAAAAGAGAAATTTACTTACATCAATGATCACTTTGAGTAATTTACCCTAAATCAAATTGGTCCAGCTACGGCGTCGTTTTCTTGTGAAGTATAAAAATCATTTTAGCTGTGGTTCGAGCCCTAAATCAACTCCGACTTCGAGACAGGTCCGCTTCTCTCTCTTTCCCGCTTCCTTGGATTGGCTTTTTCAGTTTTCTCGCCTTTTGCATCAAGCTCTACTTCTGCTATCTCATCTCAACATGAAGCTCGTCAGGTCAGTTTCAGTTTCCCTCTTTAAACTCAACTTCCGATCGGAGAATTTCTTCTCTCCGTGTTTAACAATTATATCTAAAAAAAATAAAACGTCTTAGATCTATTAATTACCGGATTCGGTTTGAAAAACATTGTGCAGGTTTTTGATGAAGCTGAACAATGAAACGGTTTCGATTGAGCTCAAGAACGGAACTGTCGTTCACGGCACCATCACAGGTTCCTCTATTTTTTTCATACAGTAGGGTTTAGCTAAACCATAATCATGCGCTTTAGCCAAGTTGCAAAAAGAGTAATGCCAACTATAGTCATGATTTTCACCCCAATTGTGTATTCTGTCGCTAGCCTTTTGGTTACATTGCTAGCATTAAAATTGTGAACAGATTTTGGTGTTCTGGCATGATATCAGTTATCCATTAGTTATACCTTTTAAGATGAAACGATTTTGTACTTGGTCTGCTTTTGACTATAAAACATCAGGTCTGATAAACTATTCAACTGTTCTTTTAATCAATTTTAAGGTATAATGTATTATCATGAGTAGGTTCTCATTCTAGATGAAAGTGTGTCAATCGCAGATTTCCTTTATAAGCTTAGCTGTTTACTATATGCATAGTTTATTGTCACCTTCTTGTTGTTATTGGATGACTTGGTGTAGTTTTATTTTCCTTTAGTGCTTAGTTGGAGAGTCAAATGACACCGGTAAATCCTTCTTGCCTATCTAGACCATGTCGATTGGTACTACATTGCATTGTTTAAATTACTGCTCTCATGAAACAAATGGATTTTGGTAAAATTCTCCTTTATTTGTTTAGCTTCTTAACATTCATATCAGGAATATACTTTTGGCTTTAATGTCATGAGAACTCCATAGTTACTGCTATTAACGTTAATAATGACAAACTTTGAACCCATTATCCTTCTGGAAAAGATGCAATGCAATGATTTTCTTTGGCATAGCTGATCATCAGTTAAGAAATTTTAAGCTTGTGATTGATTGATTTCTATAGATGGAGAAATAATGTGATTCTATTTCACAGAGGGGCAAAAAAATTCCAAGAGCGTATGCTATGTAATTAAATTCAAACTGGCATAGACACGTGTCTTTTTGCTTGAAGTCAAGATCCCTTTTTATTACCCATTTTGCAGTAGTTATAATAGACTTTTCTTTGGGCTTCCCGATAACAGATTTAGTCTCCTACATTGCTGGGTTTCTTGCTCACAGATATGCTGTATATCTGTGATTCTCTCTCATGTTGTATTCCTAAAATAAAAAGTTTTCTCTATTAGTGTTCAAAGACAGTTAACTAAGTCTTAATTATTTCCTGATTGAATATACATTTTGGCATGCAATTTTTATTTACTGTTTGATTTCCTATGTTTGTTTTAGGTGTGGATGTCAGTATGAACACCCATTTGAAAACAGTGAAACTTACATTAAAGGGGAAAAATCCAGTGAGTTTGGATCACCTTAGTGTGAGGGGTAACAATATTCGCTATTATATCCTGCCCGACAGCTTAAATCTTGAGACATTGCTGGTTGAGGAGACGCCAAGGGTGAAGCCCAAGAAGCCAACTGCTGGTATTGCCATTTCTTTCTGGCTTCTTATTGCTTTGTTTGAATGCCCTCGTATAAACTGGTGGTCTTGGTATTTGTCTTTATATTCCATTTCCAAATTCAGGCAAGGCTTTGGGACGTGGACGAGGCCGTGGCCGTGGACGTGGACGTGGTCGAGGCCGTTAAATATGTTGTTTGGTTTTTAAATTATTGTGACAGCTGGATGTGTAGACAGCTTTGTTGTAGTGAGAATTTGTTGGTGATATTACGTATTTGAAGGGATTGTATCGGTATTTTACTGTTCTTTGTGATTATTTATTGGCCTGGTTAGAATATATTAAATGGCTTAATCATGAATTCTGAGATTCCAAGCGCCGGCTGAGGCACGAGCAGCCTTGGATTATCATATGATCCAACCAAGTCCTAACATAGTACCGTTTCCTTTTGGATTAGCATCGGTAATTCACATCTTAATCATGAATTCAGATATTTTCCTGAAGCGTAGAAAATCCCAAAATTTTTCAAGTCAAGGTTCTGGAGATAGACCGATGGGTGGATGGAGGTCGTCGATCTCTCAGAAAATTTTAAATTCTATTAATTTTTTTTTTAATTTTTGTTGATAATCTATTTTCATCTCTTAAAATTTTATAAGTTTGTTTTCTTCTAAAATTTTTAAATTCGACTACTAACATAAAATCTTACATTCGTCTGAACTTGAAAATTTTACCCGCTCAAGTTTTCCATGATTTATCAAACAAATGTTGAAGTTGAAGATGAGAGAAAGAAATATACCAATGTTCCATGGTTTGTCTTGGTGCACGACTGGTTTTATATTTGCTACTGAAACTAAAACTAATCTTCTCATTTTCATCGACACTTGCAAAGTATTCTTCGAAGAACCCTACAAAAATGAAAAATAGTAAGATTCATTGCTATTTAGTATCAACTATTGCTTTTAATTGCCGCTCAATTAGTTCTTTCATTCAATCCAAACTCCAACAGACGCTTCTATGATAATGTTTTGTATCAACTGTTGGGGGCAATTTGACCCAAAACTTTGGCTCATCAGCCCCAATGTCATTGTCTACAGTTTTTATCAATACATCGTGATTTCATTGCCTTCTTTTTATTAGTTACGAGCCTTATCATCTGAGGATCACAAAAATCTCGTCACCTGTTCAAGGTCATTATGCCTTCTCTTTCACTATTTTTGACTCAATTTCGTTGACATGTAGAGATAAACGGAGAGGGATGGATGGGGGCGATCACCCCTTAAAATTTTAAATTTTTATACATCTTAGATTTTTTTTTTTTTTGAAAATTTATTTTCTCATTCTAACATAAAATCTTGTATATGTCCTTATTAACATAGTAATCTCACGTCAACCAAAATGAATTAGTTTTGTTAAATTATCTGTGACCTTTGTTAATCGGGTCATGGTGGATATGATTATATAAGGCTTTATTGACAAATTATTATTTTCTCAAATTGATAAGGCCTAAAATATTTAATATCTTTTTGGAAACCAAATATTCAATTATATGGCATTTGATAAGTCTATGTGAATTACCATAACTAAAGCCATCGCTACCTAGCCATATCTATATAACCTGACAACTTACAGGTAGCCTTCATAATCCTAACATATGCAGTAATGAATCCTTATAAAATTTTTCTAGCATGATCGAGAGACGAGATGCAACCTTAATGAAATCATCTCACCTTAACTCTTTTTTGTTTTACCTCTTTGCTTGAATTAGAAGAGGTGAATCACCAATAATCATTATAATATTTCAATTTTTAGTAATTTAGTAATATTTGATTTTGTGAATATTTTTATATTTTAAATAATTTATTTTTTAAAATTTTAATTAAATATTAATTAAACCTCAAGTTTTATAAAAAAAACGACTAGGTCCGTTAGCTTTCTAAAAATTCAACTAAATCCATATATCATGTCATTATTTACATGTGGAGTACCGCGTTAGTATTATGGATCATCATATCAATACCATAAATTATCATATTAACATTATATCGGTTAGTGATAGTTTTTATTAGTGAAAGGATCAAAGCTATCAATTATATAGTTTAAGAGCTTAATTGAATGAAATAAAACAAAACATAAACTTATTTATTTATTTTCAAGAGTTTTTAACACCCTTAAGCTGTAAAACACCATGATAATGATTTCTATTTTCTTGATGGAATGATACTGACAATTGTATGCTATGTTTTTTGTGAATGGAAGGTGAAGGATAGTGTAAACGGAAAGAAAGAAAGGATAACGGAGGTGAAGAGGGGCATAAATCAAATAATACAATCATTGTAAAGGATCCATTTCTCGAGTCCAATTATTTTTATCCAAATCTAATTATTGATTTAACAATATAGGCAATACAACATAACAGTGTGCAAATCTTCTTTACATTAGAAGGATATTATGAGGTTAAGCTGCAGTAATTCCTGTTTACTGCAAACATTAAAAAAAAAAGAATTGCTGAGGCAAACTAAACTGTTCAAGTACAATGTTTAAACATGTATGTGCCATTAAGCATTCAATGTTCTTCTTCCCAATGACAAAATTCCAGAATTTTACAGAACTTGGAGAAGTATGACAACCTGTTACCTGGCGATTAAGTCGTACATATTGGCTCCTACTAACTGTCACTAGCTAACGAAATGAAAGATGCCAGATAATTTGCAATAGCTTCAAAAATTTTAAAACAATTTCAACAATGCTTTTACAGTTACAAACTTTAGGTGGAGGAGGGAATCTAATTAAAGCCATAATTAATAAAGATAATAAAAAGATCCTTAAACTCTAAGGTTCAAATGATTTGTTGCCAACAGAGAAAAGGC